GAAGGACCCCATGCCGGAGCAGGTGGATGTGCCCGAAGGAGGCTGTGACCCCATGGGAAGCCCGTGCTGGAGCAGGCTCCTGGCAGGACCTGTGGGCCCATGAAAAGAGAGGAGCCCACACTGGAGCAGGTTTGCTGGCAGGACATGTGACCCCATGGGGGGACCCACGCTGGAGCAGTCTGTTCCTGAAGGACTGCGCTCCATGGAAGGGACCCACGCTGGAGCAGTTCGTGAAGAACTGCAGCTCGTAGGAAGGACGCACATTGGAGTTCATGGAGGACTGTCTCCTGTGGCAGGGACCCCACGCTGGAGCAGAGGAAGAGTGTGAGGAGCTCTCCCTCTGAGGAGGAAGGAGCGGCAGAAACGTGTGATGAACTGACCGCAACACCCCTTCCCCGTCCCCCTGCACTGCTCGGGGGGAGGAGGTAGAGAAAATCAGGAGTGAAGTTAAGCCCAGGAAGAAGGGAGGGGTGGGGGGAAGGTGTTTTAAGATTTAGGTTTTATTTCTCATTATCCTGCTCTGATTTGATTGGTAATAAATTAAACTAATTTCCCCAAGTTGAGTCTGTTTTGCCTATGATGGTAATTGCTGTGTGATCTCCCTGTCCTCACCTCGACCCACGAGCCTTTCGTTATATTTTCTCCCCCCTGTCCAGCTTAGGAGGGGAAGTGATAGAGCGGCTTTCGTGGGCACCTGGCGTCCAGCCAGGGTCAACCCACCACAATAATCAATTTTGAAACAGCTACTGTGCATTACTGCACAACAGGTACACTTTGAAATTTGGAATATTATTTTAATTGGACATATAAATAACTTCTCTTTAAGCATTACTTCTTTAGGGTTCTGTGTTTGGCTTTGTGTAGCAGATCTCATGATGCCCACAACTTCCTGAATATTTACAAGCAGAACAACTCCCACTGTTAGGACAGGAGTCCAAACGAAGCTTGCTGTCAGTGAACAAGATCTCTCAACTAATGCTGAACATTGGTATCACAGGGCTGTGACTGCCCACCTAGTTACAATTTTTTCCAAGGACGGGAGGTAACTGTCAACATTTCCAGCACTTCGTTTCATCTGCCACTGTTCTCTTCCCAGCGAGTCACTGTTCTTAACGCAGAAATGAGACCTTCATGGAAGTTACAAGTAATAGCATGAGTTAAACCTTACATTTCACCACAGGTAGTGGAAACACAAGGTACAGACAAGAAGTAGTATATTTTATAGCACCTAGGAACATGCTATTTTCTGTAAGCATGTTAAGTGTGCTACGTATTTCCGTGAACAGCTAAACCAACCCCCCAAACCGAGTACCACAGAACACTGCCTTTTTTATCATTCCAGCAAAATCAGAAGGGGTTTCTGTTTAAGCTTCCAACCACCGGAACTTCACTGTCCTCTCAGCCCAAAAACTTAACTGGGTGTTTAGAAGACCTCAGGAAGCTACTATTTAAGTGGAATCTAAGCATTCCCTCTTACAATGCATCCAGAATTGCACCCATTTACAGTTTTTCACAGGTTTTTTTGTACGCAAAGTAGTGAATCCTCATAGATCACCTAGGCTTAAGTGTTTTGCCGAGCAACTCAGCAACTGAGCCAGATGTCAGGTTTAGGTGTAAAAAGCTTAACTTAAACATAATGTATTTATGTAGTCTCAGGAAGGAGGCGGGGGAATAAACATATTATACCTGTGCAATAAAATTACTCAGGTGCAATGTAAAACCAATATTATGCACTCTCACTAACAACCTGGAACTACAATACCATTAAAGTGGAATTCTGCTGTTGATTCCCACCATAGGAAAAAAAGAATTGGATCAATTTTAAAAGGTCTGCTAGTATCTAAATATGTACATTTTAAATACATATGCATACAGAGAACTTAAAGTATATATTAATAACACAGCCTAATTACAACCTTTTGCAAACATAGAGAAACAAACCTCCAAAGGCTGTGCATGATAATGATCTGTAGGATCCTTCAGTTCTGCAGCCTCTTTCATCAAACGTTTGACAGCTGAAAAAGAGAAAGTGTAAGATATGAAAATAAAGAAAAAAATTAATACGCATTGCATACAAAAATACATGAGCTCTTCAAGAAATGTTTCTTTCAGCTAACTAATCTTTTTCAGCACATCCCAGCTTCTTCACTGGAGTTAATAATCCAAGACACAATATAAATTACTCACGCTGAATAAATCTTAAATGAGTTATACAAGCACAAAGTTATGAAAAATACGATGCACGGTCACAGAGTTTCTCAACACTGAACACCGAGACTAAAGTTATTGCAATTTGGTGCAATTATCAATTGCACCAAAGACATCAGGAAAAACATAGGTGTCATTAATGGAGTTTCAGACTTCAAATACAAGATGTACAAGACTAATAACCTCAATATTTTATCATAAAGGACATCATGTGCACCTTTGAACAACTGCTGGAAAGCTTTATCCTGACACCTCCCGTGACTATTACATGACTACTTTAATTATTCCAAAGCAGATCACAATAAGATTTGAGAGGAACCAACACACCAGCAGTATGAGGAGATGAAGTTTTATAATAGATTTGAAAACACATTTGCCCAGCTAGAAAAATTTACCCAGGGCCTTTGTAATTTGAACCTACTACTGAGCGTGGACACACAGGTATTTTTCTATCCTGAATTCAGGATGGTAATTAGTTACCCTCTCCAATCTTCTACTTCAGAACCACCAGCATCATCTATTTTCTGCGTCTCCTTTTTCCTTCCCGTTTACTAAGTTCTGTTACATCACTTCTCCTGCCAGGTGCCCTCATGTGCATCATGCATTAATGCCTAACAAGGAACTCAGCCAAACTGAAGAACAGATTAAACATAAGAACTACAGACAAGAAATTAAAGGATGACACCTCATGAATAAGGTTAGGTAGAAAGTCCTTACTCCCTCCTACTTAGTGGAAAAAGTGCAAATACCAGTTACCTCCTAAGCAACTACACAGGAACAGGATCCCCTAATCCATCCTCCACATGAGGTTCAAACCATGGATGTCCTTCCCACTCATGTAATTATCTACAAAGAAGGAGAAACACTGCCCAAATTCCCTTACAGTGTAAGCATAAAGATATGGTGAAAGTGAATCGTAGTTCCTCGATTTACAAAGCCTGGCATCACCAGCTGACTGTAGGCTGTATAGCATGCTCAGACTCCAGGGCTTTACTCACTTTGGTGACGCAGTGAGGGAAGCTACTCTAACCTTCTTGCAGAGGAATTTTGATTTCAATCTACTATGAAAAGTTCTTTTCCTCCTTCACACTTCTTGACAGTTATAAACAACAGCTCAAAGTTTGAGAATTTCACTTCTTAAAACCCAAAAAGCAAACAGACTACACAGACATTTGCTGCTGCCAGTTGTCCCAATTCTGCTGCTGCCAGGGGAAGGTGTCAATTAAACACCCTGCAGAGCCCATGAGGTCACATCACAGGCAGCAGCATGCGGGCTCCGCTGCAAAACAGTTTGTCTCTTTCATCTGCAGTAAGGTTTACCAGTTCATTAGTAAGGAATAATAAGAAAACCAGCCTGGACCAGAAAAGGCTTCAGACCCAGCACTGCTTCACAGCCAACAAGCCTGGACATTTGCCTTCAGAAGAGTGGCATGCACCAGGATGAGCTAATTCAGGAGTGAACACCCCACAAAGCAAAAGGGTAACCATGAGAAAACTGAGAACGTATATAACAAAGCCTAACGAAGACAGAATAGTCATGGACAAGGCAGACAACTCTGTTACTGAGATTTCCCAGACGAGGGACCAAGACAGAAAAGAAATACAGTCCCCCTATACCAGCATCACATGCAGTTACCCACATTAACTGACGGAAAGCTAACTATCAGAGAAAAAAAAATAAATTTCAAGACCATTCTACAAGAGTCTGCCGACACTCAGAGAAAGGTTTGTACCCAGCCTAAAACTGGGTGCAGGATCTTTGGCAGTGCACATTGGCACTTTGGATTTGTCCCAAAAGGAATGGCCTTCTTACTGCTTTAGCTCCACGACTATCCCCTGGGTGCCGAGTGCCAGCAGCTGGCAGGCAGAAACACAGAAACCGAGGGTTTGCACTGAGAAGTAACAGAGACAGCAGCCAGGTGGGGACAACAAGCAGGTGGGCTCCTGTTAAGTAGAATTTAAAACAGAAGCAGTTTAAAGCATGTTTTTTTAACATATTTTTGTATTTAATTAACAGTGACAGTGATACTGTATGTATTTTCTCACAGCATTACTTTATTATCAAGAAGCCAGACTAGAGGTGTTTTAAGAAGCCAGCATAAAATATCCTGAAACAATATGAAATATTATTCCACTCTTGGAGCATGAAATACAGCAAAATATATAATTCAGCTTTTGTATACCATAGAGATAATTAGCTTATAAAAAGTTTTCAGTATTAAGCAACCTAGGATATCTTAAGAAAAAGAAGCACATGTATATGAAGAAAGGCTGAGAAAAAAAGAAGCACATATATATATATGAAGAAAGGCTGAGAGAGTTGGGGTTGTTCAGCCTGGAGAAGAGAAGGCTCTGGGGACACCTTACTGTGGCCTTTCAGTACTTACAAAGGGCTTACAAGAAAGACAGAGAGACTTTTTACACAGCCTGTAGTGACAGGACAAGGGGCAACGGTTTTAAACTGAAAGAGGGCAGGTTTAGATTGGACATAAGGAAGAAATTCTTTACAATGAGGGTGGTGAGGCACTGGAACAGGTTGCCCAGAGAAGCTGTGGATGCCCCAGCCCTGGAAGTGTTCAAGGCCAGGCTGGATGGGGCTTTGAGCAACCTGATCTGGTGGAAGATGCCCCTGCCCACGGCAGGGAGGGTGGACCAGATGATCTTTGAAGGTCCCTCCCAAGCCAAACCATTCTGTGGTTCTATTTCCACATTGCTGAAAAATGCCAACTGACAGGCTACAAAGAACAGCCTGGACCAATAAAGCTTCATTCTGAGAACATGTGACCCACTGAAGAAAGCATTAAATTGTTTCTTCTTTAAGCATAGCTGCAGTATTCATGAATACAGTCCCTCCTTTGGCTACTGAAAACCACAATGGAAGAAACAAATGTAATTCACAAAGTCTGCTTGCAACAGGGACATGACATTCTTATCCAAACTCCATTAAAAAGTTTTGATGCAAAATATGGTATTTCAACCCACATAAAAAAATCACACTGAGTCATCTGAGTAAACGCTTGGCAATGGCAATTCTGAAAAATGAAAACGGTTTGGGTCCATTTAAAATAAAGAATTGCAAACTTCAATAAAGTCAAAAGTATCACTAATTCAGCAAAAAAAAAAATTCAAATCAAGACATTCAATTTGTCAAAGACAGGTTTTAGAGACAAAATAATCAAGGTATTTTTTTAATGTGGCATGATTGTCAGCATGAAAAATAACCATGCTTTCACAGGTACACTCAGCAACAATTTATCATAATGTTCATTGAAATTAAATACTGAGGAAATTAAGTTTCTGGGCTAACTCTAGAGAGCAAAGGAGAGCTTCTGCCCCCACAGGAGGCGTGGGAGCTCTCCACTGCTCTGGGGAGGAAAGGAAAGAGCGGGTGCCATGGCAGAGGCTCTGCCTGACAATCTGCCTCTTGTATTACACCGAACTTACCTAGTTTTTCTGAAAACCAAAACGTGGATGTTAAAAATCTGAGAATCATATTTAAAGCCACCAGCTTGCTTTAGGATTGAGCAGCAGTGGAATAACATGATCAATGAGTAAAATTTGTGTAGCGTATGCATGTATGATTTGTAGATTTATTTCTGTCAAAAACTGTGTCCTGGTCAAATCCTACATCTTATTAACGTTTACCTTAAGCTATCCTGACATTTCTGTTCAACACAACTGTTTCTCTTGAATATATCTTGAAGTCACAATCAAGCACTCCTGCTATCACGCCCAGCTAGACTAGTCTGCACCTCGTGGCCCAGGAAACCTTTCTGTACACAGGAAATGCAAGTGATCAGTCTCCATAAATGTCAATATTACTGCTTAAAGAGACAAGGGAATTTGAACATCGGTGGTGTTCTCTTAGTAAAATATTATGCCTTATTTTTTAAAAAAATCTGTTACTGTGAAAATAAAAATAGTCTTAAAATAAAGCAATTATATTCAGCCTTACAGAGCTTTGTTTTGTTAGTAGTCTTCTGTATTTAATAAGGAAGGATTTTAGTTCATTTTTACATTATCAGTGAACAGTACATGTGGCAATCAAATGAGCTGACGAAGGTTATATTAATGTGACCATAACACACAATATTGTTATGCTGAAATAAATCCTGTTGCAAAGTTGCATACCTTTTGCTCACTGGAAGCTCAGAAAATATGATACAAGTTCCAACTCCCTCCAATACTCACAAACCCGGACACCATTACAAGCCTCCTGAAGATCTGCCACAACTTGTCTACAAAAGGCAACGGCACTCAAGTACAAGAGCTCAACAGGAGAAAACGACCCGGGAGAGGAGAGTGGTAGAGGTGAGCTGAGTGACACTAATCAAACCCAAGTTAGGAAGCACGGGGAGGGTGAGGTCTCAGTTCAGCAAGCCTCAGCCCCTAGTACTTCACCACATGAAGAAACAGCATTTTGTGCACACAAAGACGACTGCAGGATCATCAGTGGAACAAATTCATATTTAAGCGATATGGGTTGTGTGTGTCAGTAGCTTCCTCAAATGGATAGCAACCATTTCATTCTACCAATTTTAAGTGCTTCTGTTTGAAAAAGAAAGGACATAATAAACAAATAAATAAAGGAACCCAAAACAGCTGGCATAAAGCTAGAGATCTCCTGATCTTTCAAGTTGACTTATCTGATCTGGAAAAAGAAGGAATGAAACAACCTGACAGCTTTTACTGCTTCAGCAAATGCTTTCTCTTTTTTTTTTTTTAATGGCTGCTATTATTATTTTTTTTTTCTTCCCTTTAAATAAGATTTAGAGGTCTACTCAGGAGAAATACAGAAAAAGTAGTAAT